AGCTCATGCGATTAAACTTTCAAATAGGGAAGATAGATGGAGTGCTTATAAAGTTAGGTACATAAAACGATGCCGTGTAAATTCTTTACAAATAAAGGTATAATACGAAAATGCCGAAAAAAGCTCAATTCATAGTTGATTTTAAGTTAGTTAAGAATTTTCAAAAAAAAAAATTTAAGAATTTTATGTTATACATAAATATTTTTTTAAGCAGGTATCTATTTGTATTTGTACACGAATACTTTATTTTATATTTACCGAGTAACCGAATATTTTTAAAAGTCATTAATGAATCATTATACATACTMGTATCTGTACTTGAATACTTTTAAAGAGTATCTTTTACAGAACTGCCTTTAAGTGCAGTAGCTATCAATGATTGATTTGTATAATAATGTTACACATTATTAATTATAATGTCTTTACCCATACATTACTTACWTTAGATGAGTGATCTATTTCAGATTTAACTCAAAGTAAACAAATAGATGTTTAACCTATATTATATTTCGTCAAAAAAAAAAAATCGGTTTTGCTGTTGTATATTTGTTAACAGTACTCCGTAGTTATGTTCGCTATTAAGGGTGATTTATAGTTACGTAAAAATCGATACTTTTTCATTTATTTTTATTTACGCTTTTTCCAAACTAATACCCGTACTTATTTATTTTGACCAAAAATTCTACTCGAAAGAAAAGATGTCAGTGATGATGAATTGAAGGATTTTAGATTCCTTGATTCATACAAATAAATTTCTCCGGAGAGTTTGTTTTTGTATTTATCGTAACAAATTTTCCGTGAATCGAAATACTCTCAACTAAACCATTTTTGATTTTATCAAATGTCGCTGATCTGATTTTCGATTATGTAGTTGTATGCAACATGCATAGTTAGATTTTGCTGCCATTTAAATATCTTTCTAACTAGAGTTAAAAAATTAAGATGATTAACTATATCGTACCGTATCTCGACGGTAAATCTTATTCAGAGACTAGATAATGAAATTTTCAGAYAGAAAAAATAAAATAAAATCTATTGTATTTACCGCGAATACTTTACACAATATCATTATTACGCATYGCTTCTAACAACCATCATAGTTCTGATATAATCGCAACGATATCTGTATGCATGTCAGTTTGATCGAAGTATTGTGGCCGTCTGTAGATTTAACTTACCGACTATTATGCAATAATAGTGCATGCAACTGTTATTGGTAAATAAATATTTATTGTGATTTATGAGCAAATTAATTTTCATTCTAACTTTCCAAAAAACGAAAGCAATCCGAGACTTTTTTTTAGTTTTTACAAAATTGAAATACATAAACTATAATATTTGAAATAGGTTTTGTCTTTTATTGTATATAATGGTATTATATATTATGTAGTTTTATAGTTATGATTGGTATAACATAAATTGAAAAAAAATTAAACAAATTTCGTAATATTTACCTAGTCTCAATGCAAGTACGCACCGCACTAAAACTCTACAGTCCATAGATAAATAATGAAAARACAAATAACTTTAACTCGTYGATGATAATATTTATTATATCGGACAACGGTTTGTTTTTTTGTTAGCTTGAGGGTTGGGAATTGTGAATTATCCTTTACAACGAAATTGAATTAGTCACATGTAATTATGCGATGAACGAGAAAAGTACACCTATTTAATTAAATATAGGTAATTACTAATTATTCCGTGTTTTTTCCTTCATTTCATGATAAAAAAATAAAATTAAAAAAGGCTCTCGTTACAAATCTACAATGCTTATCATATTATACAAATGCATCTGGTAACATGTAGTCCAATTACTTATTGCGATGGCTCAGTGCTTGTAAAACCATACAACCATAATATATATTTATGTACGGGGTGATCCATTTAACGTAAGACACTTATTCTTTCTAAGAACACTTACGTGTTTAAAAATATTTCTTTTACGGCCCCACATTAGTATAAGCTGTTTTAAAATGACATTTTTGGGGGAAAAAATTATATATTTTTTTATTGTTTTCATTTTTGGGTATATATTCTTTTGAATGACAAGTTACATTTTTGATTTCATATTAAGATCAAAGAATATAAGAATATAAGATTTATAAAAATCAAATTTCGATCGAGTTGTTAATTAGTCATAAGTATTGAAAGTTTATATAAGCAGACCAACGATTTTTGGGATATACCAACTATTTCGCTCCGCTTATCTAAAATTTAAATAGATACATATAAATTTATAAGTTAATAGTCTAAAATTTTATTTTTTATATTTATAAGTGTTTCATAAATTATTCTACTTTGGAATAATAAATGGAAAATTCTTGTGGTCGATAAAAAATTTTGAAAAAAACAAACTATCAATTATGATAAAAAAAAATATGATAAGAAATATTGTTTTTAAATATTTAAAATTATGTAAAAAAATATTTAAGATTTTGAAAATATTATTTTGAGATATAGTGTATATTGTGTATATTGTGTTTGCCATCAAATGGATCATCCGGTATATAGCAAATTTCCCAAACTCTGGATCGTGCCCAATCCGATTCCGGTCGACTTGGGCGATTAGTTTTCGCATACGYTCCAAAAGTGAAATCTCGTGAATCTATTACCATRGATGGCAGAAAAAAAAGCACAACCCAGAAAGTGGCGAAAACAATCGATTTTGAACGTGGCAAATGTATAAAATATATAAAATGTATGGTATATACGCTCAATGGGTATACGGTGGGGGCTTTTGGATGATGTAAAGGAGAGCTACGGCCCGAGTGTGAGGGCACGAGACCGGAATGAATTAATTGATTTCCGAGTGAAATCACATAATATCAACTACAGTAATAATAATTATCTTAGTAATTTCGTCATAGTAATAATAATATGATGATTATTTTATTCACTATTTATAGGCAAATAGTTATATACTATATAGGTACATATACGTGTGAATTATTTTTATTACCTACAAGCTGGCCGCGCATAAATGGTCGTTGAATAAAACGTGATCGGATTTATTGAGTTGGCGACGACAATATTGTTTGACACCTGTGTGTGTGTGTATGTTAGTCCGTTATAAATGTTTGTTACACCAACGTCACCAGCACACTTTCAATTTAACATCCAAACACGTCGTTATATAGGTACAATCATATGACATATTCGCCACATATACCTWTTGAATCCGTCTTTTCGTTTGGGCAAGACAGTTGCCATACAATCGTATAGTTGTTATCATACTATAATATAGGTATTTTAATATTTATACGAAATAATTTCTGCGAGTACGTGTCCGCGTGSACCAATCGTATAATCGAGTTTCCGCCTTTGGTTATAATATACCATCTTTAGTATACCTACTATGGATTCGACCAAGTTGAAAATTGCTTTGGTAAGTAAAACCGTTATTTTAATATTAAAAATATACATGTGTAGGTGTTTTTTTTTGCCACCATTCATTCCCCCAATTTTAATTATTTTTTTTATTTGATTAGTTAAGCATCAACTACATAGGTATATCAATCACATTATTATATGTTAATTCAATTTTTTGAATTTGAATTATTATGATATTTAAGCGCAAATATAACCAAGGATACTATAATAATATAATGTCATACAAAGGTACCTACATATATATTTGCATTTGACCCATAATATTCACCTTCTACTTCGGGGTCGTTTACACCAAAAACACTGCAGACTATTACGTAATATATAAGAGTAACATTTATGTTTTCCGAGTGAAAAATTGTTTCAATTAAATTATAAAATCAACGCACTCCTAATAATGAGTTGGTCATATTACGCAGTAAACAATTTTTATTCGCGACGTTTTTAATTTAATGAACTTTTGTAAATCATGTACAGTGTACACGGTACAATTCTATAATTTGGTTGTCATTTCCGGTATTTTTTTCGTCCACAAAAATTGCTTGCCATATTATTCATTTAGACGGAAAAAAATAATAATAATAATAATATTATATAAACATTTATTCAAGTTCTTTCAACTACATTCATTTTTCCGAAAATAAACTGTTTGTAGTTATATAATCTTATTTAAGTTGACACGATATTTTGTATTGAAGTCCATGGTTGTTACGCTGRGAATCGATCATTAAAAGCGTTTGATCAAATTMATTTTTAATGGCCATTCCTTTATACAGTTGTATAAACGAAAATATGTACATGTAAACGTTAAACAATTAAAATATAAATAAATACTTACCTACGTATAATATATAATATCATAAATTGTGTTCAAATTAATCTTAACAATATCCCTAAAATTTACAATTATATCATATAAATTTAATAATTTTACCTAATTTTATGGAACATACAAAATAAACATGTTTACATTATTTATGAAAATAATTTAAATTTTTAATCGATAAAATCCATTTTATCTATTTCACACTACATATTATTATTATTATTTATATATTTTAGCAATCCAAGTATTATTCATTAATAAATAAACTTATTTCTAAAATAATACTAAAACTACAAAAACACGTCCAATTTTTATGTTATGCACGTGATATTTTGATTGCACAACGAACGGTTGTGGACAACTAAATGCCACACAACCTTTGAAACAAGCCGACRGCCTCTAATTTAGTAATAATAATATTGATGATAATAATAATAATAGTAATGATAGTGACGRGTTGAAATAACAAACACGACACAGTGTCACTCATCTTGTCATCTGCAGCAGCAGTGTTTTCACTTGGACTTAAACTGTCAGTGGAAAAACTTTTCACACGAACTGAATACATTTCACTTGGTTACAAAACCGAGATGAGCTTTAAAACTTTTTAATATTTTTTTTCTGGGGGATTTGGGACGAAGTACACACTTAAATAAAATCAATAAAAGTTAAAATGTGTACTCGTAATATAAGTAATATAATGCTAAATGTTTGTTCGTCTTGTCTCTACACGTACAGGTTTGGTTGCAACTGACGGGGATGTGCGTGTGCCAAAAGTTCAGTCCCGTGTACCGGGGACCGATCACCGCGGACAGGCAGACCGCAGTCGGCCAACAGCAGTACGCGAACAACGCTGCGTTGCTGCAATCGGCCACCGCCGGTGACGTTTACCAACAATATCCGGAACAACAGTACAACTACCCGACACTGCCGTACTACTACCCGCCACAACAAAAACAAATCTTGGAGAAGCAACAACAGTCTAGGTTGGATCAACAACGGCTCCAGCTCCAGCAGTTGCAGCAGCTCCAGTCGTCCTGGGGTTACTACCAACCGGCTATGTCGCCGCAGCAGCAGCAACAATACACCAGTGATTACCAACAGCAGTTGCAGCTGTTACAGCAGCTGCAGCAGCAACCGCAGCAACAGCAATCGCAGCAGCAACAGCAATCGCAGCAGCAGCAGTATTACCAARCCGCGGAGAAGCCTTTGTTCAGGCCTGCGGCCATACCGGTAAACGAGGCGCCCGCCGAAGGTCCGCAGCAACAGAAGCCGAACAGCTTGTACCAGCAGCAAAACGGCGCGTTAGCCAATCAGCAATTGCCTCAAAATCCGCTGGGAGTGTACTACTCTTCGGCCGCCGACGTGTCGAAATTTCAATTTTCCGGCAACGGTGTCAACTATTCGTATTGAGTAATATGTGAATTTTGTTATGCATTTTTCGTTTTTGTTTTCATTATTATTATTATTATTATTATTATTTCATTAATACTAATTTTATTGTTTGTTATATTTCCGTAATAAATTAATGTATAAACCAACTCCGTGCGTCGAAAAGGTTTAAGCCGGTATACTCTCCTGCACCGTGTAAATCGAATTGCGTGCCGCTAGACCCTCCGTCGACACGGTCCTTGTCGCTTGTTCCGCAGTGACTTTTGTCCTTTTGAAATAACTCCTGATCCGTTCCTTGGTACTACTGCGAAAATAGTACACAATGTTTAATTAATRCGGAGGAGGACTAGGTGAAGGTAGATCGGGCCCGAGTGAATTATATAATGTAGGATAAACGATATTAATATTAGTTTTAATGAGGAACGAGGCCAAATGGGTCCACTCGTTTATTAGCTTGTGTCTAACCCTTTCACGTGCCATTAACTTGGAACTTTAGGAACCAACGTAGSTATTTGGTTATTATTATAGGTAAAAATTCTCCATAACATTTAGAGTTGGATATATATATATGAGATTTTAATATAGTTGCAAAAACGTTTGTCAAAAATTTCGATTTTATTCCATCCGGCTAACAAATAACTGAAAGTAAATAGTACCTATGTACATTTCTTTACATTGATAATTATAATTTTTTCATAACTTTAAAATCGTATAAACCAAAAATCCTAGTCTATATACCTAAGTGTCACAAATTTGTTTAGGTTTGTTTTAGATTTAAATTTTAATGGATCAATTGAATAAATTATGCAACTCTCAAATCAAAACTTAAACTATAAATTCGAACAAAAAAAATAATACGCCTGGATTAGACTTAGCGGATTATAAATTCATAAGTAAGTGATTTTGAATGTGCCTTCCGTGAATTTACCTGTCCGAATTCCATGCGACAAATAGCAGCGGAGTGGTGACTGTCGGCACAAACGCTAGCCAAACGCATATCATGAACGTCAAATCAAAGTGTCTGCTGTTCTCGTAAGTTTCAGACACTTCGAGTTTCGCCAATCTGAAATTTTAAGTTTCRTGATTTATTTATTCATTAATCATTATAATATTTAATTTAATATATMGTACGAAATAATAGTATAATATTACAATTTTGAATATTTTTTTGATGTATTCAAATCAAAATTTAAGTGATTTTGAGTGATTTAACTTAATGCGCTCGACGTAATATTATGTTTATAGTAATGGGTTAAGTAGATATGGGGGATTAGACGATTTTAAAAAGTTATTAATTAGTATTGATCTAACAATATCAATAATTTGTAAAAATTATCCAAGTATTAATCATTACATATAAATATTTAATATTACCTAAAGTTTGTATTTTTATAAAACCATTTTTGAGGATTATTATAAATCCTTAGTATAAACATTTTAATAATTCATTGACCACTCATTCGAACCTTAATTTAGACACATTTTCAAGAAAACCATCCATTATTTACAGTAAAAAATGGGTTCGTATAAGAAAGATAGAAATTTGTATGGCCTCAGCACATTTAAGTATAATATACAAACAATTTTACACATTTTAAAATATGGCGTTTAGGTATTAACATATTAAAAGTATATTTTTAAATATACTTACTTAAAATTCATAAAATCAGAATTTTAATAAAAAAATTTACTATTAAAGGAAAAATGGGTGAAGGCTATGTTTAAAAATCCCTATATATGCTATGTYGACCATTGTACCTGCGAAAACTGTGATCGATTTGTTTTATAACTGTAKCTGTTATTAAGCGCCTCACATACTTTTTTATGGTAAATTTCTTTCTTCTCAAAATATTATTATTGGTTCTATTATTTGAATATAAAATAATATATTACGACCATTCGAATGTGAGGTTGTATTATTATACAAGTGTTTAATAATATTATACGTTGTTTTATTTTTATGATATTCTCGACCGCCAATAGTGCGATGGACATTTTTCAATAAATTCAAATATACCTATAACTTTACTAATACAAGTACAATACGTGCATTACGTAATTTCACAAATAATATAGGTACTATTTTGTGTTATTGTAGTCTTGTAATTTTGTTTTAAATACATTATATCGTTTAAGATTCCAAGCGAAGCGGTTTTACAATAATAATGTGCAGATTTATTTTTAATGTAGTTTTTGATTTCGTGATGTCATCAAGTTTTTGAGTAGAAAAAAAAATACAATATTAAACTTTTAAAGTGGTGTCTATAAAAAGAAAAAATTGAATCAAGTTGGTGCTTTGAGTAGAGGTAGAGGAGATTACCTAAAGTAAAAATTCCTTACATTTTTGAATTTTTCTTCCATAATATGTATAAAGATACAGTTTGAAAAAAAAAAAATTACACAAAAATGTGAATATTTACGTAACGCCAGTTTTTAACGAAATTGATTTTGTTTTATTGTAGTATTTCATAAAGGAATAATGTTTTTTAGGATTTAATATTTTTACAAAAATTTGAATCTGTATTTTCTATATATGAATTAAGGCTCAAAATATTTAGATTCTTKTTGTACTATATTTATTGGTGTTTGAAGTTGTCTACTTTAAATTTTTTTTTCGATTCATTTTATAATATCATTTTTGTTTCTGGGTAAAACCAAAATCCCCTTATAGTTGTTTTTGTAGCAAACAAATAATATTAAAGAATACATATATCTAACAATATATATATTTTTTTATAAACCCTTTAAGTTCAAACTTATACGAAGTTGGGTATTAAAAATATTGATATTTCCTTAAACGGTTTGTAGTTATTTTGACGTAATTTAAAAATATATTAATCATAGATACTTGAAAAATTCAACTGTTGCTTATAATACATTATCGTTTTAAATACTCAATGAAATTGTCAAAATATCGTTATTATTTTAAGCTATTTAGTTTATATTATAAATTATATACAAACTTTCACAGACCATTTTCATATTTAACACACACCTAAAATCAAAAGCTACCAAATCAATAAACAAGAGAATGTGTTCTACCTTTTTTCTTTCTTTTATTAGTTACAATCAATTATTATGAAAACKTATTGCAAACAATTTCAATACACTACAAAACTATTTTTATTTATTTCAAATTTGTATTAATTTGTTATATCAGAATTGAATGCGTGCCGACAATACCAATTACAGAATGGCTGGAAACCATAACGAACAAAAAATAAATGGTTACATGTTTTTGAGTGCAAGTTATTTTTGTATTAATGATTGAATTTTCATCATATAGTTCAACTGGTATTTATTKCTTTTTCGAATAAAAGTCTTCAATTTTAAAACAACATTATCGTTATCTTTGTAATAAAATTATTTTTAACACCGGGGTTGGGTTGGGAATTGGGATACTTGTTGTTTACTTTGCATTTAAATATTAAAACTTAAAAGTATTTAATAACTGATGAATATTTTTAAAAATAAAAATAAAACAGCAGAAAAATATTATGTTTCTTTACAAATACTTTTTTTTGTATAATTAAAATGATAGTTGTAATAAAAAAAATATTTTATACTTATTTTATTAAATACATCCWTACGAGTATACTTGAATAAAATGGTTTTATTAAAAAATGTTCATCAGGAGACAAAATTGACTTTTCAAATATTTGCTCGAATTATTATCATATAGTCATTGAATATGGTTATTTTTTTATACCAAACAAAACAAATCAACTTATATAAAAAAAAATTATAGTTACTCATACTTTACGTTAAAATAAATATTAGTGTGGTATTTAAATTTTATGCTGATTTCCAACAATAAGAGAAATAAAAATATGACATTGATATTTGTTATCATTATTGAAAAAATKTATACTCTTATGATTTATATGAAAGATACAATGTGCTGAGAGTTATAATTGGGTATAATGATAACTGATTAAAAACTATTAATAATTTTAACTTAAAATGTCAATAAAAAAGAGAATTATCGTATAAGAAACCTTGTATTGAATWTTTTAGCTTTTTACGTTAAAATATTTTAATCATTTGCAAGATTTCGATTTCAATTTTATAAGAAATTAGTCTTAGAGATGCATTAATTGTGCCTATGCGATTACGTTATAAGAACAACTTATATGGGATCTTTAATTACATTTTAAAGTTTGTTATTGGGTGGTTGTAATTAGCTTCTTTTTTGGTATGATGGAGGAAGGGGAAGGGTGGTTCAGTTGTGTTTTAACACGTGTAAATAGAGCGTAGATTCGTCACTAAAACTTCGATTGGTTACCGTGTGGTTACCTATTCGGGAATTAGCTATTAAAACTTTTAGTTGGTCGAAATATTGAAAAAAACTTAAACTGTACGGATTAATTTTTTGTCTCGGGTCATTCATAAATTATATTRACCCAAATTTGATCGGCACTATAACTATATCATAAATTTAATAGATTAAAAGTAAATCTTAAATACTTGAAAATTATACCAAGTAAAGAAAATTCTAATATAAATATTCAGTGAAAAATGCATATGTCTTTCTATTCATTTTTGAATTACAATCAAAAACACAAAAACACAGATACATATCATTCTAAAACGAATGCATTTATCACTCAGGTCAAAATCTAAAATAAATGATATTATAACATAAATGACCTGCAATTAATGGAATCAAGCATAAATGAAAATTTTAGTGTCTACTAATCTAGATATTATGCCAGAGAACAACTGTAGACAGAAACTGCAGGAATTCTAACAAAATAGTAACATACATTTGTATCGTATGTTTTTTAAAATCATATGTTTGTTAAAAATATAAGTYAGGTGATTATCCGTGGTATTGTTGCTTATGATTTCGACGTGACTGTTGGCACCCTCAAGAGCTTTGCGCATTTGTTATCGATGGAATTATTGTAGTAGATACTAGATATATATAGCTAAAAAACTATTATTATTTAGTTATTTAATTCGTGTAAAGCTATATATGTGTATTAAAGTTTTAAGCTTCTGATACTATTATTTTCAAAAAATGTTGGTGGCCCACGGGGACTTCAATGAATTATTTATTTCATGTGATCTCAGTATTTGAATAGAAAATAAATGTTGGTAAAATACAATTTCATTTRGCGAGAAATAATACTATGTTATAATATACAGTATGTAGAAATTACATTTTGATACTTAAAAGAAATCAACATCCTATTAATTAGTTCGATAAAAATGTATATTATTTTAATATATTTCTATAATGTATACTGATAAATGATAATTATTCATCGCCCCTAAAAAAACCATATGTTTCAGTACTTTTAATTACCTTAAAATCATCAGTGGACACAAACACACAGCATACGAAATTACCATTGATATTAAATATTTTTGCGTCTTCGACTCCTTGTATCCATCGATTTCCTCATCATCAGAATCGCTAACCGGAGATTGTACTTCATTCAAACGTGATGGCATTCCACTGCTACTGAAAAAAAAAACCCCGTATACATCAATACATATTAAGTGAGCAGCATTTTTCGAACGGTAAAGTTCTCGACCGGCAATTCTATACGTTTCGAGATTATACCATAATATTATATATATATTGATTGTACATTCAACCTTAACATTATGTCATTATATAATATGGACATTTAATTATTTGATATTTATTTACCTATAAAAAAACTCGATACTCGAGTATATTGTTTTTTGATCATCATATTTTAAAATAATCTAACTACTCGAATCGTTTGATAATTCACATTTTTTGTCGTTATTAAAAATTCCAGAAAGAACTGGTATTGAGATCTACTTTTTATCTGAAATTATATTGGAAGATTTAATTAATGTTTATTATTATGATTATGGTTATATATATAATAATTATATATTAATAATATATATATATACATATAAATATAATAAATATATAATAATTATGATTAAAATATTACTCAAAATGATAATTTAATGAATTATAGAATGAAAATTTTTTAATGTTATCATTATACATATTCTGATGAAAATAATAATATTATAGCCCTAAATKCTTGGAATATTCAAAACATTAAAAACAGAAATACATTAACTATCAACGGTTTAACGCTACTTTAACAGTAAGTACATAAAATCCTTTAATAACCTCATTTATCCAGTGTTTATAGTGTTAACATATTTTAAAATTTAGTTACCTCCAAATTATTATGTCTTGAAAACATAATCGGTTTACTTCCTTCCTCAAAAAAGAGGAGCATACATTTAGAAGAAAACTGTCGAACGTTAATGTTTAGATATTGTAATCTTAATTACAAATTCGTGAATTGAAACAAAGATAAAATTAAAACTAAAGAGACTATTCTTCATGATAATATGATCACAACAATATGGTTTAAATATACTGTAAATATAATTTATGCATTATGTAGTAGTTATTTATGAAGTTATTATTATTAAAATAGTTATACCAATATTTAAGTTTGATAATAAAATATTTGGTCAACTTAAAAATACACCAATAATAACGAAATAAATTTGTTTAATAAACAAACAAAATAATATGTATATGAATGTAAATTTGATTTAAATTTATTAGATACATAGAAAAATGATTTCAAATGTTAATTATTAAATTTTATGAGTAATTTATTTCTAATAATAAAATTATGAAATTATATAATGTAAAAGGATATATGTACTTTTAATAAACAATATTTATTAATAATTGAAAAATTACTTCKAAGTATAGCAAATCGTACTAAAACTATTCAATAGGTACACTATCGTCAATCAATGTAATAATACTAATTATTACATTTTAATTGCAATATTATCATTAATAATTAATTTTAAAATCAAGATTCATTTTTAGGACACTTAAGGCAATAACGTCATCATAAGACATTCATTGCAATTTGTTAGAAACTTAAATTTTGATTTATAAGAAAATTATTTAAAGATCTAGGTACATCTATGCTTTAGGTATAGGTGCCTATATAATGTTTAAATTTTTGTCACCACATTATATTATTCTACAGTAAACGATACWCACTCAAGACTCGATACATTAGGTAAGTCAGCGTGGTTGTTTATGCATTCTATATTAATATTTCAAATCAAATCCAAACATTCACGGCAATTCACAGTAAAAAATAATTGTTTAATGATAATGACAACCGTGATAGTAAAAGAAAGTAATTTTAGTTGTTAACAATGAAATATAAAAAAGTAAATCATTGAATTCATTAATGCAGTTCAACAAAAATTATCATACGATGTATAATAACGCAACAAATAAGTTCAAACGAAGATAATAATAATGATATTATTATGTTTATCGTTTAGTGCCTATTCGGTACCTAGTTAAAGAAACAATCATTTTTTTTCACTTGAAATAGGTACTTAAGACAGAGATACAACAGTGTTGTATGAAAAATAAAAATATAGTAAAATCTCTCTATAACAGACCCTCTAAAACGGAATCTTCCTTATAACGGAAAATATCAATAGTCTCGGTGCAAATAATACATGACATTTCTAACTTTCTATGACAAAAAACTCTTTATAACGAAAAAATATTTAGGCCCAATCGATTCCGTTATAGAGAGGTTTTACCGTATAATCTCTTCCGTATCTGTATTTTATATTTCAAAAGTCCATATTTTTTCGTTATGTAAAACAACCTATGTCATGCATTTCGTTATATATAGATCCCAATATGCATTGCCATATTTTAAGTTAGCATATAATAATAAATATTTCTAAGGCATATACAAGTTTCAATATACAAAAGTTTTCACTGATGTTACTCTCGTGTATTATTTGAAACCGATTATTAAAATACTAAACACATAACTTTACAGGAAATCGAAAATTGCCAATTAGGATTAAATGGAAACAGTATTTTATCAAAAGTTGTCATGTTAAGAAAAAAAATACTAACCACAAAGAAAACTGTAAAAATCTGAAAGTAAAAAACTTCCAATCCTTAAGCATGAATTGCTTTTAATTTTAAATAAGTAAAACGACATTTTTCACAACAGATAATTGGAGACTAACTCGTGAGCACCATTATATATTTAAAATTAGATCAGTATTTTTTATTATATTTATAAATTTATAGCATATGTTACCTAATAATTATTTTCCATATATTTCTACAAATATGTATATAAATTAAAAATCATAATCAACATACTCTATAGTTACAATTTCGATCTAAATCTTCAGAATCATAAGACAATTTATGGTTAGATTACTGAATACAAACTACCTATACTCTAGTAGTCTAGTTTTGATTATACTCAGATATAGCCACATAGATTATAGTCACATAGGTATTGTCAGGGGCGTGCCTAAGGGGGGGGTGTTCAACCCCCCCAACCCCCACCCCCGAAATCTTAACGAATTTATTAAAAGAGTATTGCTTAATATTTGTATATTATTAAAGTTTTACATTACAAACATTTGTTGGAAACTAGTGTATTTATATAAGCCATTATCGTCATTATCGATCACTCTACTACTATAGAATATATTAGATTGACCGTCGACCGTAATCCGTGAAATCTATATGATAAATTATTGTTATTATTATTATTTTTATTTTTTAATGTTACTATTGAAGTATAGAATAATTTGACATYTGACCAATGTATATTGTATGAATATTGTATAATGAAAATATATTCGCCAAATTAATACATAGTAAATAAGTACACTTGAAATGAAATACATGTTAGTAAAAATATTGAACCCCCCTCCCCCCGAAATTTTTTTAGGCACGCCTCTGGGTATTGTCGTATAATTGACATGAACTTCGCATATAAATATATAATGTATACATTATTCTATTTAGGTATATTATAAGCTATCTGTTGTATACTATCTATTTAATATTGTATATTTGAGAATGTCCCAAAGGGCAACGATTAATATATAGATACCTAGGTATTAATTATTGGATGGTTGTTCCGTTTCACATGTACTTCATTGTCATTTGTCAACTGCCAGCCGTGTACCAAATTTACGTATATTAGCAGTTCATATTATTTGCAGCAATCATTATTATACATATTTTATCTCAACCATAAATACACTGTAATAATATTATGAATCAATGCATCTAAACATAATTCCCGAAAACATCTGTATATGTTGTTTTTAAAATAGTAGTATTTGTCATTTTATCATACCTCCTTAATCCTATGATTTTTCATTTTTCAAAAAATTACGATGTAACAAGTTAGAAGACAAAGTAAATTAGCGATTGCTATGATAATAATATGAGCTCTGGTTAGTTAAAATAATTAACTCACTWGTGATTTGAAAGTATAGATACATACTTATATAAATTTATAAGTAGGTAATTTTAATTATTTGTTCRAAATTCAATTTTTATGTATTGAAATACTCAGAAAAATATCCCCGGACTATGAAATTAAAAATGTATTTTATTATTTAAGCAAAACAATCTTAAAAAAT